ATGGAAGTAATCCCAACAACTATGAAACAAGAGATTCCTCGAAACCCAACTTTTCTTCATATATAAAACCACGAATAGACTATCTTTAAAAATTGTGTAAACATAGTAGGTTAGATTACTGGTCTCTAAGTGTAAAATAATGATCCAGCAATCAAGTTTTTAAAACTATAATTATAAAGGACAAATTTGCCTTGAGAATGAACTATCTTGGGTTAAAATCAACGTACTCATGAGTTGATAGAGTATAAAATGAACAAAGTATTGCAAAAGAACTCATCGAAAAGTTTAACCATTACGAATAAGAGCGGAATAAATGGAGAAGTGTCGTCAAAGTAACTTTTAATTTTGAAGGTATTCGTATATTGGCTTATTGTATTGGTACAGTTTTCAGTAAACTATACTCTCTCGAGGTCATTAAATATTTGCCACCTGACAGAAGTAAGATCAAAACGGATTCATCTGTATCGCAGGACTGTGATCCAAGGCCATTGTAACACAATCAATCCAAAGAAACTCATCCATTGGTTTACAGAGAAGCAAACCCACGATGCTCTTCTAACAACTTATTTTTGGAAAAACATTATGAAATTCTTAATAACCAAGCTTCACTACATACATCAAGAATCTCCCAGTAACAAATAGAACTAAAGAAATTCTCCATTTACTCCGAAAAGTTTCCAATTTGGCCGTATACAACAGTGTGGTTAATTTTTATTCATTTTTTTAAAGGAAAATTTGGGCATTAAAATATACACTTTAAAAAATATAGAAGAGAGCAGTCAGTTTTGTGTTAATTGATTCGAAAATATGATTGTAGACTACATACCTACTATAAGCTAAGCAACAATTTCCGCGTTATTTATGGGAGTAAATCATATCTATGCCTATCAGGCATATAAAGTACTTATTGTTCTGGTATATTCGTTTTTTTAATGTGGATTAGAGCCTCATCATAGATAACACCAATCTTCCAAAGAACAGAAAACTTAATTTTTTGGCTAATATCTTGCACCTTCATAGTAGTTCATCGTTTGACATTGGCAGATGCACAATTGTGTCCTGTAGAATAATTAAGTGGAACATACATCTCATATATAAAATCACTTCCTTTGATTCTAACAGTACATTTATTAAATGTTTAGGCGTACTCACTATTGAAGCCAAGACATCTGAAGAAGTATCCTAGAATCTGACGATTATAATGTGTGTAATCTAAATTGCTATGGGCTAGAGATGCGTTTTCATGATAATCTGGATGTGGCCTTATGCTGTATTGTATTATTAAAAGAAGACATTTTAACATTAAGGCAGGTTGAGCCGAAGTCTGTTTTATAACCAGGATTGCAGAATGTCAAACCTACTTGCGAACGCTAGGCCGTCTCGGCCAGGCTGACATCAAGGAGCCTATAGCTGGCTTCGTCGTAGCAACAATGTCATCATGACCTGCATGTTCATTCTTCATTGGCCGCTTAGTCGAGATTGCGTGACCCAGTGACCCATGTTTGCTTCCTTGCCAGCTCAGTCTGCCGGGCTTGGAGGCGCATACTTCGGACGAAGCAAGGGGTTTTCTTCGAGAGGGAAGATATGAGTTGCACGGAAGACGATTTATCGGCAGACAGCCCTCGCAATTCGTGGTCCTCCAAACAGTTGACGTCCTAATCCGATCGGCATCATCTCCCGATGAACTGGCCGGTAGCCATTCATTCAGTTGTGCTTGTCGCATACCGACTACTCTGGCTGGCTGAGGAGTGGACGAAAAGCCTCCCTGAATGGGCCCTTTAGTGGGACCGGAAATACATGCCTGATCTGGCCTCCTCAATGCAGGGAGAAAAGGTTGTGATATTGCAAGGTTTGCGGAACAGTGATGACAAGTCTTTTCCAGGCGCTTTAATGCCATATTGCCGCAAGGACTCAGACATCTTGTCTGTCGTGTCTTGAATTCTGGATAAATGTCTTTGAGATGCATCGGATTGGGGCGTTTCAAATCATGAGTTAAAGGTTGCATGCCTTTGTTAAGTCTGCTGGGAAATGGCAACATGCGGCTAGATGCTAAGCGTACATACCAGGTGATGGAGATTAAAAAATAAATTAAAGGTAAATGCAATCATTGTCAGCAGCATAAGGAGAATAAAGTGAAGTTTAATGAGATAGTTATGCCATAACATATGAAGCTCTTATTTAATAGGAAAGTTAGATAATGAAAGAATTGTTTATTGTTATTCCAGTAAGGTCTGGCTAAAACGTTAACTATTTTTACTATATTGTTATATTGCTTGAGAATAAAAACCGTTTAACGCTTCCTTTCTTGCCCGATTCGAGATTATTAGACCTATCATAGAGCTGATGTGAAAAGACTTGTAAGTATAAAATTTACCATTAGCTGGACTCTATGGCCTGAATGAATAGAAAAACAAGCCTGAAATGTGATGAAAAGTTGGGTGCTAAAGATATTATGAAAGATTTTCCATCATTTAATTATAAAAAACCAACCTTATACTTAGGCACTAATAATGTACATTACAAATAATTTTTACAATGAGACTGTAAGATATTATATGAAAATAATTTATCATGCAACTTCAAGATTTTCCATTATTATGTTTGTGACAAATATTACGCTTCATCAGATAGTTACTAGAATATTGACGGGGCATAAAAAAGAATATAAATGGAAAATATGCGAAACTTTTTAAAATGAAAAATCGGAATTTCATTTGGCATAAGTATACTGGTTTGCGGCCTTCAAAATTAAATATTATTCTATGAGACAAAATCTATCTCGCTTCACAGGTGTAGCCCAGTTGTGAGAACCTTACAATATCTTTTACTCACCGCTTTTATATGCTTTTCTGAATCTGTTTACAGATCTCTTAAATCATTATTGGAAACACAGTTGATTGAGAGTGAATACTAAATTATAGAAATGTAAAAACCTAAAACATAACTCACATTCTTCGTGTATGCACTCAGTAAGTAAGTAGCAAAAGTTAGTACGATTTAAAAAGATGCTATAGGATCTTTATAATTTATTTAATTGAGATATATTCTTTCTTCGTAAAAGGCTAATCAAAATCTCAATGAATTAAAAATAGCAATATAAACCTGAACTGTATACTCACTATATTTGCTCTTGTTACAAGGATTTCAATTTGGACAACTTCCTGCGAATTATGAAGTTGAATAACTTAGTCATAACTATTGCCAAATTATTTGTTGGCTCTATCTCATGTACGCTGAAGGTAGATCATTGAGAACCCAATTTCTGTTGTATTAAGTAAGTACTTCAAGGAAAATTACACTAATACCCTTGAAGCGAACAAAGAAAGCCAACTTATGATCATGACCTATTTCGATCTGACTTGGAATCTTACGTTTCCAAACTAATTCGTCTGACTAGTGTCTCTCGCCTTCACAACACCTCACATGTGGATTCTTGGTTGATCTGGCACCTCGTTCCTGCTGATGCTATCAATCCTTATGGCAATGACTATAATTCGCCCAACTCAGTTAGGTACCAGTTTCCCCAAATTTATCAACCAGTTCCTTGGTTTGGCAATGCTTACTGCAATAAACTTTTTTCTATTTTTTGTGATTCTATGAGCGTCTCTTCTTCACGATATCTATTGGACTTGCCCAAAATATATACCGGAATTAGGAACTTCATTAAAAATATTCTTGCTGATTACCATTTTCCACACGTTTGCGTAAGCAATAAGCAAATTTATCGATGATTCCCTCATCTTCCAGCCTTCTATGAAATGTTTTCTTTTCAGTAAACTTTACAACTGCTCTCCAAACCTTTGATTTTCTTTGCTTTTCTTATATAAGACAACTAGTTTGTCTACTTCTAACTTGTCTCTAATAACACCGGACGCTGTGCTCTGCCATTTCTGATCACTAAGCATCCACGTTTCTACCGGGTCGTTGCTATTATTTAATGCATCAACTAAGATACTAATGGTCGCACGAACTGCATTTTATACCAGAAACCGAACGAAAAGATTTAACGGGAAGGCCGCCAATATCGGCGCAGACGAAATGCTGCAAGCGAAGTGTCTGGTTATGTATCAGGTCAACGATTCGATGCTAGATAGAAGCATGACAACTATGGAGATAACGCATACGGACTGCATTCTACGAAGTCTTCTAGAAACAACGAGTAATCTTCTAAGGTCAGGCCCGACCAATTCTGTACTGCGAAAAGAGACTGCAACCAAAATAATAGCTCTACAAATGTGCACTTTTGTTTATTTACGGTTTAAATGTCAGAAAAATATTAATCCTGGAAATAAATACACTTTACCAACTGTCAATCCAGCTATTAAGCAATTCCATATTCACATCATTCAAATAATTTGTCTAAGCAAACTTCCCCTAACTATCTAAATATAAAAAAGTTAGGATTCTAAGTAGTGAAGTTAATGAAGAACTTGAAAGAACTTTGAAGTTTCCCCGCTTAGATAACTACAGCTTTTCCACACGGCGTCTAAGCAACCTAGGCCAGAGATCTTTTATGTTATATTTAAGAAATTCTAATAAAGCTAGTTTTAATTTGCCATTGAATTTTAACCTAAAATGTTTCCTAAACTGGCTCTTAATCAAGGGGAAACTAAAGTTCTTGCCCGAATTATTTCTAAATACACATACACTGCTCTTCAAACACAGTATACGCAAACAATTTACCCATGTACTGAGAATCTAGAAGACTGATTTTAATATTATTGCTTGTATATCGAGCCTGTCAGTATACACTTGTTCATCAATGATGTTTATTAAAATGAAGCCTGATTAGACTTCAATGAATTAAATATGGCATATTTTTATGAGCTGAATACAATCGTTTCATACATTCAGAAAATACTTTTCATTTGGCCTAGAGTAAATAGCGAATCTTACATGTCTTTTAAAAGAGAAATATTTAAAATAACATGTGCATTCAATGGAAATCTAAGTGGGTTTTAATTTTCAGAATAGTATTTAACATCGACATCAACTTAATTAAATATTTTTGACTTTTGGTGTTTCATCAAATTATTTCACCTAAATATTGCAATATGATATTAAAAAATGGCTTAAATATCCTCGGCAAGTAGAGTAAATGATGCTCAAGACAATTAAGGG